TGAAAAAAAAAAAAAAAAAAAAAAAAAAAAAAAAAAAAAAAAAAAAATCAGGGGAAAATGCAGATAAAATAACTTTCCAGGGCCATCCTTGAAGGCTGGTGGCTAAAGGAGCTGGATCCTACATGGCCGACTGCAGGATTCTAAAACACGCACTGGGCACGTGTGCCCCAGGCCTGAGGGGTTGCCGTGTGACAGCGCTTTCAGTTGCATTCTCCCTGTCTCTTTCTCTACCTCTCTTTCTCTCTCTGGAAAGCATACACACACGCTGGTACTTAAAATAAAAATGAAAAAAATAAAAATAAACCCCTTCACATCTGTTTTCTACCTTTCAGCTGAATCTGGGCTTTATTTATTTTTGATTAATGTTACAGTTTGCTGTCCCGAACAAAGCGCTCCCTGGCATTAGGCATTGCTTTCCCCTGTCATTGCCCTCCACCCATTTGTCTGTAACTGTCATTCCCATTTCCACTTTTCTCATGAGTAGACAGACCTGGAGAGCTTCGGGAATTTTCCAGGGTCACATGGCTAGTAAACCGTGGTGCCGCCTATGCTTTGGGCTGCCCCGTGCAAGAAAGCCATGTTCTTTGCCGCCCTCACCTGGCCTTGACCCGTGACCAAGCTGCTTGGTTAGTTTCAGAGAGAAGCACAGACACCCAGAACTCCCCGGGGCCTCGCTCAAGCACCTCAGCACACAACCGCTGCAGCCTCTTTGTGACCAGGTGAGCAGCCGGGCAAACAGGGGGGGTGGGCTGGCTATGGACACTGGTGTGGACCTGCCCACGTCCTGCCTCCTTCCTCATTCCTGATGAGAAGCCTCTGTTTCTCCAGACATGCCAGCCTGATGCCAATAGCAAAGCCACATTAAGCAGATGAGAAGCCGAGGTGGCGAGAGGCTGGTGGCTATTGTGCTGCTGGGGCACCCTCCTCCTCTGGGACCACGTTTAGGCTTAAGGAGGAGAAAATGTGCCCCTTATCATTGCAGTTGGCCATAGCCATGCCACGCTGCGTAACCAGCGTCTGCAACGCATGAGAGTTCAGCTCATGATTCTGCAGGCTGGTAATAGGCTGCGCTCGGCTGGGAGTGCTCCTGGACGCTGCCGGTGCCTTCCTGCACCCAGGATCAGCCTTAGCTCAGGAGGAGCTTCGTTTCTGGGGTGGAGAGTCCTGGACTCCTCCACCCACAGGCCGGTCTGGGAGTGCTCTGGCAACCACATCATTCTATTGGCCAAATCAAGTGGCAAGGCCAGCACCCATTCAAGGCAGAGGAAAAGACTCCACCTCTCGATGGGAGCAGGATGCAAAGTCGCACTGCTAAGGGAGTGGGTCAGGGAGAACTGACTTGTCCACCACAGAGGCTGTGTCACTGGGCGGGGACTGAAGACCCCTCCTGAGTGGCATGTTCTCAACTTTGTGCAGAAAAGAATTCCAGAGCGGATCACAAGCAGGGAAAGCTAAGAGGGCCTGTAAGTGGCTGCACGTTCTGCGGTCGGGACACGAGCTCACCGGGGAGAGACGCGCCCCCCCAGCTGGGTCAGGGGTTTATGTTGAAATAATAGGAGGGCGTCTCCAGGTCCAGGCATGTGGAAGAGGGATTTTTCCCACGCAGATGCGGTAGCTGCTCAGGGGTCTTCATGCATCCCGGCATCGTTAGCACCCTAGATCCTGCCTGGGGTGTGGCCGTTAGCCTGGAAATGAGGCTCGGTGCACCTCCAGACCAGCGCTGTCCTCCGTCTTGGCTGCTCCTGGTTCTCACGGGTCCCTACGCTGCAGTTGCTTGTGGTCAAGTCACACGGCTTGTGCAGACTGCGTTCTGCTGAGAGGAAGCCGAGACCCTCTGCACGGCCCTTCTCTCCAGCGCAGCACTCCCGGGTGGCCTTGCCATCCTACTCTCCATTTGCTGATTTTCCCCTAATTTCCCTGTGTCACATCAGATTGAAACCTACAAGGCCCCAGAGCCCTGAGCATTTTGAAACTTGGGGGACTTGTCTATTTCTGTGCTGATTTGTCGAGGTCTGTCCACGGTTCAGTCGAGAGCTTTGGCCACCCTGGCTGACAGCCGCAGCCGGCCCGACCATACGTCGAGGGGCTCACCGCCCAGTGACTTCCCTGCCATGTAAAATCCCCTCTTTCCTGAGAAAGTGGCTTCCCCCTGATTCCATATGTTTATGGTCAAAGCCTTCCGAGAAATTCCTGAAAACCAAGGAAGGAAGTTGGCATTCCCTCCAACGCCAGGACTTGCCCAGGCCGTTGGGGCCCTGGGGCCAGGGCGCTATGTGCAGAGGTGGCCATGAGGTGGGGAAGAGGCAGGCGTGGCCCGGCCCACCCTGTGGCCATGCAGCCTTACCTCCACTGGGCCTCAGCCTCCCCATCTGAGCAGTGGACGTGATCGCCCCGTAGGCATGGGGTGAGGAGGACGGGATGGGGAGAGTGCACCTGCCAGGCTGAGCGCCTGAACGTGGGGGCCTTTCACTTGATGGGAGCTTCCTCGTCAAGCCCTTCACCCCTCCCCTGCCTGGCCAGTTCTCTTCCAGGCACAGCTCCCCACGACCTCAGGGAGGGCAGGCGGCTCAGCTTCGGATCTGCCATCTCCGAGGCAGCAGAAAGCTCACAACCTGCGACTCCAACTCCTTCACAAAGGAGTTTCCTGCAAAGAAAGGAAAAGGTGAGCAAAAGGTGGGGGACAGCCCCTCAGGGGTGTGAGCAGGGCGTGTGGGTGGCAGACACAGTGGCACCTGCTGGGCACCTGGGCTGGGTTCTGAAACTGTGACCTGAAATCTGCAGTCAGGCTTCCGTGTGTCTGGGTGGCCTGTGTGGGGCGGGCGCTGTGGCTGCCGTGTGTCCCACCCCTCAGTAGGGCTGTGGCCAAGTGTGGCAGGTGTTGAGCCGACAAGGCGAGTGCTGGGAGGGGCTCTGAGCAGGTGGGATGCAAGAGTTCAGGGCTGGGATCCAGGGAGGGCTTCTCTAGGGAGGAGTCTCTTCTGGTTGGTAAAGAGGGTGATAGGGTTGGGGGCTTGGAGCGTTGAGACCAACTTGCCTTGGCTTTGAAGCCTGGCGGGTGGGCAGGTGGATGTCGGGTTGCCTCTGCAGCATGGCTGGGCTTGCCAAGACTGCGGGGTGGGGATTAGCGGTGGCCCAGGACACACCCTCGGGCCAGAAGGATGTGCTGGAAACAGCCCTGGCCCCAGCCCTCACTGCCACTTCTGGCGCTGACCACCAAGCACTCCATCCTCAGGACTGTCAGTAGCTGCCCAGCTGCAGGAGCCCACAGTGACCACAAGGGGATCAGTGGGTCTTGCAGTGGGACAAGCCCTCCAGATGACTGCCCACAGACCTGTCTCCCCAGGGCTCCTGTCCCAGAACCCAGGACCCTTTGGGAACATCAGAGCCAGATGCCCCTAGAAGGTGTCTGTGTGACAAAGCTAATTAGTTAAAGCCTCTCAACTAATTAGAGACTGAGCCGAGGCCCAAATAGCCTCAGGACATCCGTCCTCCTGGGTGATCTGTGGTGCCACTCCTGCAGTCCCAAGGCAACCCTTCGTGAGCCTGGAGTGGGTGGTATGAGGAGGAGCCCTAAAGGGGCCCTGTTCACCTTCTTTAGTGCTTCTTCCTGATCCCTCATTTAAGATGCTTCTGCTGGGGACTGTCTCGGGACACAGGTCACGCCTGGGCTACAGTTTTGGCCTTTTGAGACAAGCGTCCTGCTGGGTGCCCTCGGGAGCCCGTTAGAATCCCCACTCAGCCCTGTCACTTGCTGCTGGGATGGCTTGACCAACTTCTTAACCTCGAGGAGCCACGGTTTCCTCACCTGGAAAATGGGCTGAGAACCCCCCAGGACGTTGGCTGGGCCTAGATAGCGACAGGCCCTGCAAATCTCCCGGGTCCTGAGTGTGGCGCACGCACGGACTGTCGTGGGGCAGAGCGGGAGGCGACGGCCAGAGCTAGAGAAGTGCTTGTCTCATCTAAATCGAAAGGTGTTTTGTTTTCAATAAACCTCCTCATTGAACATGTTGGCACACTACGTTTTATACTTTCAAAATTTACACATGGGAGACTACAATTCACCCTGGCACCCCTATCCGCAGTTCAGGGCTGGAACGTCGCCGGTCCCCGTGCCCACGTGCAGGCTCCAGCTTTGGGATGCCAGCCTGGCCGGGGCCTTGTCCAGCTCGGCCCCAGCTCGCTGGAATCAGTTTCCGGCTAGCTCTGAGGAGCCGCGTGCAGGCATGGGCGAGGGAGTGTGCTCGCGGGCAGGGCCGGGCAGAGTCGCAGAGACTGTCCTTCCTCTTCTGCCCTGAGTAACGCTGAGTGTCTCCCCAGTTCTCCAGGCCGGAGTTTGTCCTGCTGGCTGGAGAGGCCCCGGTGACCCTGCACCTGCCCGGATCGGTTGTGGTAACTATGGGGTTGGACTGGGCCGAGGTGAAGGGTAGTGAGGGAACCACCCAGGTAGCAGCCTGGGAGCTCTGGGCTCTCTCACAGGGATGCCCTGGTGGCACTGTCCCCTCTGGGCTCCTCCTGTCAGAGCCGAGGCCACGTCCCACGGCTGCCTTACTTTCTCCACCCTCCCCTTTAAGAGGAGGCCCCTGTGCCTTCTCGGGAGTCCTGGGGCTCCAGCCTTGTCTCCGCTCAGCCGGGGAACATTTGTGAAGCATCTGGTAGACACCAGGCACTGTTCTAGGCCCCCCCTGTGCTGCAAAGGCAGGGGCAAAAATGGACAAACATGTAAACACAAACAAACCCAGGCGGTGAGTGTGCCAAAAAGACTGGGGTAGCCATGGCATGGGGGTTAAGGCGGCTACATCTCACATGGCTGGCTACACGGTTCGAACCCTGGATCGGCACCAGGTGTGTGTGCCCCAAATCCTGAGAGAAGAAATGGAGGAGAAGGTATGCTGCCCGGGGGTGCTTTCTCTCTCTCTCTCTCTCTTTCTCTCTCTCTCTCTGGTAAGAGCACGTGCCCTCTGGCAAAGTAAAGGGGAAAAAAAGAATAAAATGAAAGACCAGTGAGGAAGGAAAGGCTCTGGGAGGCAGGTGGAGAGGAGGCAGGCGTTTGCTCTCCAGGCAGGCGAGCAGCTTTGAGGAGGCGCCATGAGGGCAGAGACAGCAGTGGAGAGAGGGGGTGAGCTTTGGGGTGAGCAGTCCGGGAGAGGGGCAGGGAGGTGCATGCTGAGAGGCCCCCAGTGGGCCACCCCTGCAGAGCCCCTCTCACTGGCGCTTGTGCCTGGCCTTACCCTGAGTTCCCCGACACGCAGCGTCTTCAGGCCCACATCCCTGTTTAGGCCTGGCCCGGGGCTGGGAGGTTTGCACCCAGGGCTAGGTGTCTGGGCGTGTGCCTCCCTGACTCCGCTCCCCCAGAGCCGAAGTGTACATCTTAGCCTGGCCCAGCCACATTGCAGCTTGGTGTTCAGGGCCTCTGTGAGGGCTTTCAGGAGCCAGGGCTGTGAGGGGGCCACTTTGGTGTCTGCTCTGGGGCGCCTCTTCCCTGTGTCGGTCCTTCCTTTGTAGAAAGGCAGCAGGGAGCCCTCCCCTGACTCACTCCAACAAAGTTGCATCCAACTCCCTCATCTCCCCGACAGCCCTGGTAGCCAAGCAGGTGCCCGCTGCAGCACGGGGCCCTCTCCTCGGCCCCTGAGCCCTGACGTTCGAGCGAGCTGGCTGGCACGAGCAAAATATCCGGTCTGACCCGAGCCTGAGTCCTACACCACCACCACCTGCGTTAGCTTACATGGGGCGCGCGACACACCTGCTATGTGGCATGCCCGTGCCCCGTGCTCATCCTCTGCCACATGCTCATCCTGTGCCTGTCCTCTGCTGCATGCCTGTCTTCTGCCGTGTGCCCGTCCTCTGCCCTGTGCCCGTCCTCTGCTGCATGCCCATCCTCTGCCGTATGTCTGTCCGTGTGCCCGTCCCCTGCCATGTGCTCATCCTTGTGCCCATCCTCTGCCCTGTGACCGCCCTCTGCCACGTGCCCGTCCCCTGCTGCGTGCCTGTCCTCTGTCGTGTGCCCGTCCTCAGAGCAGGAAAATCCCTAACCTAAGTAGACTGACGTATGGGGGGTTAGGGTGCCAGCATGACTCACTCTGGGGGTCCATGACTTTCTGAAGACTTTTCCTGTGTGGGGCTTGCAGATCAGAGGGCACAGGGCTTCCTCGGGCAGAGTGGCAGTCGGAACTGACCCCGAGTGGTCCCTAGCCACCACCTCACTGGCACAGCAGCCCGTGGTCCTGAGTGGGCCTCTCCTCTGAGCACATCCGAGGGCCCTCACTAGCCAGCTTTGCATGTGCCCATCTGGTGCTGCAGAGAGAAAGGGGCAATCCCCCGAGGGCCCACCTGACAGCCCTGCGGTCACCTGACTTAGGCAACTGCAGATCCCTCTACCCGCCAGGTAGATGGTCAGGCCAGCTTGTTGTGGGGAGAGGGGACGGGCAGCCACACCATCCCTGCAGAAATGCTTGGGCAGTGCTTAGGTTCCGAGGCTCCAGCGCTGCTGGCCCAGCTCTGGCTGGCACAAACATCTAGGCCTGGACACCAGGTCTAGGAGCCTGTTTATAAACCTCAGGGCGGGTCTGGAACCACAGCAGCTATGGCGATGCTGGAGGGTGGGAGGAGGATGACTGGGACCCCCAAGAAGACCAGCTGGACTGTGTCCCCTCTCTGAGGAAGGGGCCCGTACCAGTGCCCTGTCGCTCTGTCCCTGCTTGCCCAACTTAGGCTGGAACACCAGCCGTCCATGCCTTAGCCCTGACTGTCTCCCGGCGTCCTCGGTCCACACAGCCCCTTGTCTGTCCCCCGCGTGGAGTTCTTAGACAGTTCTCGTTTCCTTTGCGCTGTGTCTTTCTGGAGATCAACATTCCTGGAACCCACACTCCAGGGCAGAGCAGGTGCAGGCAGGCTCAGTGAGAAGCACCTCCATCTGCTGCCCCAGGGGTGTCGGGAACCACTGGAGCCCCCTTGCTCCCACTGAGAACAGACCCTCATGGGCCCAGGGCTGCATGAGGGCCCCATGCTCAAGAGCAGGGGCTACAGGAATGGGACTGGGAGATGTTTTCCTCTTCCCTGCGGCCAGCCTCACCGCGTCATAGTGGCTTTTACTGCCTTGGGCACCACACTACTTGGGCACAGAGACAGTCACGTAATGAACCGAGCCCCTCCCACCAGTGCTGTCCAGGGGCCATGCCCCTTCCCATGGCTCTGCTGCTCTGGCGCACAGAGACAGCGGTGCCCCAGGGGGTTACATCTCTCTGGAGACACGTTCGGTACCTGGATTGCAGGTGGGTGAGAGCCCGTCCCTGCCAAGTCGCTCTGGTGCTGCTGGCCCCGCATGGGGACAGCCACAGCCATGCCTGCTCTGAGGTGTCATGGGGCATGTGTGCCAGCCTAGGACCTGTGGGGGGGGCTTGGCTACAGGAGAAAGTGAGTTGTGGCTGCCTGGGGTGAAGTGTGCAGAGGAGGACAGACGAGGGAAGGCCGGGCCAGCCTGAGGAGCCAGGGGACAGAGGAGTTGGCAGCCAGAGCCCCTCCTGAGGCTGAGGATGCAGGGCCACTGGGCTCTGACGCTCTGTGAGTGAGCTCTGTTGTCCAATCAGACTTCGCTTAGGAAACACATATTTAAAGATATGACTATATGACTATGCAGAATTTCAAAGGAATGGCTTCCAGCTTTTAGACCCCAACTCAGGCACCAGGGCATAGGGCCCTGTGACTGCCCTGTGTGTAAGCTTCTTAACTCTGACTGAATTCCTGGGGAAGCTGAACACTCACTGGTTCCGAGGCCCTGCCCCAGACTGACAGAACCACCTTGGGGGTGGCCCTCACACCAGTATGCTCAGCAACTCTGCAGGTGGCTGGGAGGGGGCAGGGCCCCCAGGTGGCTTAGAGTGTGCCTGTGTCCTCAGCCCTACCTGGGATCCTGTGGGATACCCTGCCCCACAGGGTCCTCAGATCTGGAGGGTGGGGGCTGGTCTGGTGCCCAGAGGGTCAGGGAGTGGCTGCAGGCATGGTCTCAGTGGCATTAAAAACAAGCATATGGTGTCGCCCATGACCGTCCTCTATGAAAGGTTTCCTGGGCATGTCTGGGCCAGGCTTGGGGCTGGGCTTCTCTGTCCTTGTCCTTAGTGAGATCCACAGGAACCCTGAGCCCGACCTGGCAGACCTGCAGGGGACAGGGCAAGAGCAATCCTGTGGTGGGCACAGACGGGCAGAGCGGCTGTGCAGAACTGGCTGCAGAAGGATGTATCGAGGCTGCAGGGAGGCCGCAGTGCTGGGGGGGACGGGCCAGGGAGGGAGACGCGGCCTGAAATGAAGGAGGTGCTGAGGCCCACGGCAGACCCTGGGGACTGACTTTGGCTCTGCTGGCCAACCCCCAGCTCTCAAGCAAACCCCTCACTCTGGCCCTTTCTATTGGACCCACGCCCACCCATACTCCGTAGTTTAGAATTCCTTCCCCTTTGCTTGGCAGGCAAGGTGGGCAGTATGGGGCTGATGGACACCTCTGGCCCTGGGCAGCTCTCTCAGGAGCAGAGCCCATGGGCAGCTGGAATTTCTGCAGGGGAAAGATGTTGTCAGTGGCACCCGTCCCCCTGCCTTCCACCCTGCCTGCCCCCGCCGAACCTGGCAGAGAACACAGGTTTGACTCTGGTACCTGCCTTATTATTATTATTATTTTAAATAAATAATTAATTAGTTGCTACAGGGCACATGTGCTTGCTAGAGAGACAGAGAGACAGAAAGTGAGAAATCACTCCCCAGGGGGCATGGCCACAGCTCTATCCCTTCTCCTCCATTCTCCTCTTGGATTTTGGGCACACACACCCAACATTGGTTTTAAGCCACTGGGTCGAGGACTTGAACCTTGGTCAGCTACGTGGGAGTCCAGTGATGTAACCATTACGCCATCCACTGACCTCAGGTGCCTCCCTCTTACTAACTGTGCAACTCTGAGCATGTCCCTGCCCGTCTCCAAGCCTCAGTTTCTCATCTCTTGCACAGGAGTCATAAACGCACTCATCTCACAGGGCCACGTGTTAATAAACGAGGTGACGCATGTGAAGTGCTTAGCACAGTCACCAGCGCCCGCTAAAGGCTCCATGTCCCACAGGAGCTGTTACCGCTGAAGCGAGTATTCTTGTTTTTAGACCAAAAAAGGGAAATCATACTTGGCTCTCAGGGACCTCTGCGTGGTCCTGCTGAGCGGCCAGTGTCTGGAGGTGAAGTGCGACACGGAGTCCACAGCAGGCGCTGTCTTCAACACAGTCATGTCCTTCGCCAACCTTGGAGAGCTCAGCTACTTTGGCTTGGCGTACATGAAAGGTGAGCATGGCCTGGGGACCTGGGGACCTGGGGACCTGGGGACCTGGTGCCTGAGTTCGATTCCTTCTGGGAAGACTGCTTGAACCCAGGACACGTCGCTGCACACAGACATTAGTTCAAGCGCCGAGTGCAGAAGCCCGCCTCCATGTAGTGCAGGATGTGGTGGGTTCCTGTGGCCTGCTGGGCTGGGTCAATCAACCTCAGCGCATTACAATTAGACAAGGGCGTGGAAGTTAGACAGGGCTAACGGTCACTCAGCACCCCAACCCTAGAAGCCCGAGTTAAGAATCCACTCTCACATCCACAGGAAAGGGCTTCTATACCCGCTCCACCTCTGTCCCTCTGCTGTCATGTTTCCACCGGCCACCAACACCCTTTGCTGTAGTTGCTCTTTAGCGATTGTGAAGTGGCTTGGGGGCAGGGCGCTGATTGGGATCACAGGGCCTTCGGGTTAATCCCGCTCCAGCCCTCCCTGCCTAGGTGTTATAATCTCAGGTTCATCTATGCTTCCTCCTCAGCAGGAGCAGCTCAGAGGCTTGTCATGTGATTATTGGATGTGCCTCCCGGGGCTGGTGGGGGTGTTCTTATCTCCTAGTTCTCCAGATCTTAGGCAGATCCCTCTCCCACATCAAGAGGACACCATCATCTGCTTTGATGTGGGTGGATGATGGCTCTGGACTTTTAGTCTGAATCAGAGCCTCTTTAGGAAGCACTGTATTTCTGGCCTCCACACCCTGCAGTCTCTGTGAGATCAACCTCCAGGCTTACCCCCTACCTGGGACCTCTGGGAAAGTGGCTCCTGGGAGTGACCCGTTTGTGCATCAGATGTAAACCGATTTGGGAGGGGTTGCCAGCTGACCTGTGACGGGGAAGTGCCCAGGCTTTGGGGATGATTGGCCCCAGGGAAGAGTGAGTTGGCTGTGGGGGGCAGATTCAGTGGCAGGGGCTGAGGGCAGAGAGGTGGGGAGCAGGCTGTGTGTGGGGACACTCCTCAGACCACTCTGGGCACCCGCTTTCCCACCCCTCAGTATGTACATATTTGCCTTTAGACAGAGGCCGGTGCCCTGTTTAAAAGGGCCCTCGGGCTGAGTATGCCCTGTAGGCAGGGCGCACCTGCAGGAGTCTTGGGGAGTAGCCCAGTGCACCCAGGCAGGGTAGAAGGCGACTTTATGGTTGGGGCTGATTCAACCTCCTTCACAGAGGGGTTGGAGAATGTTCTCACCAGGTGTTTAAGTCCTGGGCTTGAGATGGTGGTTTCCAAGCTGGAAGCATTTATGTCAAAGGGTGAATGTGACTCTATTTACAGTTCGTCTTAGCCCAGGCCACTATCATAAAGTACCATAGACTGGGTGGCTTTCATGGGACATTTATTTCTCACGGTTCTGGATGCTAAAAGTCCACCTGGTTGAGTTCCCGTGGAGGGCTATCTTTCTGCCTGTGTTTTCCTTCTCACAGTGTCCTCACAGAGTGGAGAGAAGCAGCGCTCACCTCTTCCTCTTTCTCTTACAAGGACACTCAGCTTTCTCTGGTGGAGACCTCATCCTCAGGACTGTATTTAAACCCAATTACCTCCCAAAGGCCCACCTCCAAATGCCATCACATTGGGGCCAGGACTTCAACACATGCATCTGAAAGGGACACAAACATTCAGTCTAATAACACGTTTGTAGCTTGGGCCGGGGTGTCGTGGGGTGGGGCAGTGTGCTCTGGCTGGTGCAGCAGAGGCTGGCGTGCGGCATGGACTGGCTACTTCTCTCTGGCTTTTCATCTATCTCTGTAAGAGGGTAGCCGGAAGGCAGATGTCTTCTCTAAGATAAACACAGTTTCCCTCCTCAGTGCCAAGGGTTGCTGGGGTGTCCTTATCTCTCACAGTGTTGAGGTTTTTTTTTTTTACCTTCTCATTGGCTCCCACTCCCAGCCCCTGCTGACCCCTCACAACTGCAACAAAGGTCCCCTGGTACCGGGCACTCTGAGGACTTGCTTCCGGCGTCCTCCTGTGTGGATACTGCACTTCTTACTGTTTCACCCTCTAAACTCTCTTCCCTTCCCAGGCACAGAGTTCTTCTTCCTGGACAATGAGACCAGATTGTGTAAAATAGCCCCTGAAGGCTGGAAAGAGCAGTCCCAGAAGACTTCCGTGGGCACCTTCACACTCTTCTTGAGGATCAAGTTCTTTGTCAGCCGCTGCGAGCTTCTCCAGTGAGTGCTATGAGCCTGCCTTTGGCTTCCGTAGGGATTTACGCAGGTCCAGGCTCACGTGGCAGACATTGGAGAGCCAGGGGCTTTGCAAACTGCAAAGTACATATAAATAGCAATGGTTGTTCCTTGGCTTCCATTGATAGAACGAGGTGGGAAACTCAGGCCTTTGTCAAGATGAGAACTGGCCCTTTTGTTTCAGATGTATTTCTCCTAAGATCCAAGTTCTCTCTCCCTTAACCCCAGCATGTTCCCTTCCTCTTCCATGTACAACCCAACAGCCTCATGGTGAGGGCTGGAGGAGAGGGTCATGGGTTTGGAGTTAGATCATTGTACCTTTATTCCTCTGCTTATTGGAAACACTACGTAACTGGTTATCAGTTTCCTCACTTAAGTCACAGCAATGAACATCTCTGTGGATGTCATGTGAAGTGCCTGGTGCAGAGAAGCCCTCACAAGGGGCAGGAGGCATGGTATGGGTGAAAGAGACCACAATTGTCTTGCGGCATTGCCCTCTGGGTCCTAATGGGTTCTAGCCCATCTTACCTCCTTTCCCCACTCTCCAGGCTAGGCAAACCCTCTGGTATTAGTGGTCTCTCCTTCCCTCAGTATTCCAGCCGCTTTATTCCTGCATTTCCTTCCCAGCCACAGCTTGACCAGGCATCAGTTCTACCTGCAGCTTCGGAAAGACATCCTGGAGGAGAGACTGTACTGCAATGATGAGACCCTACTGCAGCTGGCGGTCCTCGCCTTGCAGGCCGAATTGGGCAACTGCCCTAAGGAGGTAGAGGTGGATAGTTGGGGCCTTTGGGAGGGGTTCCTAGAGAAATCATTATGGGATGGGCAAGAGGGAGACTGAGAGTAATGAGGATATTCTGACTTTGAGAATTATTGACTTCTACTACTGAGATGGGGGTAAATTGCATCCACTTATTCACCTATCTACCTATCCATCTGTTCATCTATCCATCCATCCATCCATCCATCCATCCATTCATCTATCCATCCATCCATCCATCATCCATCCATCTATCCATCTGTTCATCCATCCATCCATCCACCCACCCACCTATTCATTCATCTACTCACCTAGCTATCCATATGCCTATCTATCCATCCACCTGTCCATCCATTTATCCATCCATCCATCCGTCCATCCATCCATCCATCCATCCATCTATCCATCCATCCATCCACCTATCCATCCATCTACCTATCCATCCACTGCCCATCCATCCAGCCATTGATTCAATAAAAATTCATCAAGTGCTCTTTGTTAGACTTTGGGGGATAATCAAGTTTGTGCATTGTAAAGCAGTTCTATTCTAAAGGATTCCTCCTAAAAGTAATTATTTATTGATCTCCTATCCTCACCATCGTCGTCATCAATAGTAACAGCCAGCGTTTATTAAGAGATCCCTCTGTACCTGTCATTTACCTATGCATTCTCTATAGCATTAACTCATATAACTCACAGCAGCATCGCAAGGTGCATATTATTGCTGATATTTTCTGGAGGAGCAATCTGAAGCTCTTGTGGCTAGCAAATGAGAACAGGTGAGTCTGACTCTGAGGCTAGATTCTACTGGGACACACTGCCTCTCAATCTCATTGGCCAAGCCCTTGCCGCCAACAGAACCACATGAAGGTTTTTCTAATTTAGCTTGCCTATCCTGGTCCTCTGTGAGAATCCTCAAGTAGTTTGCAGAGGAGATTGATTAATTTGTAGGTGCCTGGAAGCAGGGAGAAGTAATCCTGATACATTAATTTATCTAGGTGGGATTCAAAATGAGGATGCCACGTAGGAAGGAGAGACAGAGCAAGTGGGCTATTACAGAGTAGTGTAGTTTTGCTTTTGGGTTCAGGATGTACCCTCTTTTAAGGATGAGGGGAGAGACTTAGCAACAGACCTCAATAGAGATCAAGCAGTTGGCCTAGCAGTGTGACAAGGTGTCCAAATGCGGGGTCTGTCTTGGGATGCATCAGTAGAAGCAGAGAGGGAAGGATGAGGAGGGTGAGAGTTCCACGGATCCCTTCTCTGGTGACCTTCCAGCCAGTGTGCCAGGCTTTATCTTGAGGGAACTCACCACCACCATGAGCTGGGTGCCAGTGGGGAATGCATAGCTTGAAGAAGAGTTGCTCTAGAGAGGATCTGAGGGCTGTGTGGAGGAAGAATACACACTCAAAAGAAAAAGAAAATAAAAACGAACAGTTTAGCTCCCACCTTTCTGCCCCAGCAATCTTTAAAGGGGCTTTTAATCCTCGAGCTCCCAAGATCTGGCGCATACTTGGGCCTTTGCACACTTTCCCATAGTGTCTGCACACCCAGCACAATCTGACTGACCTTCGCCAGCCCCATCCCCACAGCCTTCCCAGCCCTAAGTGGATGGAAACATTCCCTCTACCCTGTGGGCTCTTTTCAGCATCTTCCCATGCTCTTGTCCAACACAGGTGATTGATCAGTGTTCTCTTGACTGCAAGCGAGAGAAAATAAAACCCAGATTGGCTTGGATAAAATGTAATTTTAAAAACAGACCTCCCCCCCAAAAAAAAAATAATAAATGAACAGTCCACTCTTCCCTTAACCCCCTCCTGGCCTTTTGATAAGACTCCAGCCCTATCCCCACTTCCCTTAGAGGTCCTTCCTGTCTCTGCTGTCTCAGGGCTGGGGAGTTTACCAGACCAGGCCTTGCTAGGTGCAGGGACTCAAGTGAGGTCAGCAGGACTTGGCTCCCTGCAGGTCTGGGCTGTGCTCTCTCTGCTGAGCTTACCTTCGGCAGCTTCCAGATTCTGTCCCCCAGGTTCCAACTTAGCACAAAAGAGAGCCTCTCTCTTGCAAATCCTAAAGCCATATCATGGATTCTGACAGGGCCCTGTGCCCATCCTAAACCAGAAACTGCAAGGAGAGGCTGTGTATAAAAGCTCTGATTGGTTGGACTTGAGTCACATGATCACACTAGGAGGCAGGGTGGAGCTTGTGCTAAGCAACGCATGTTTTGTTCTATTGTTTGTTTTGTTTTTTGTTTTTGTTTTGTTTTTTTTTGAGAGGTTTTCACTATAGGGCATGTGCGCTTGCCAGACAGACAGAGAGAGACAGAGAGACAGAAAGCGAGAAATCACTCCCCAGGGGGAATGGTCACACCACAATCCCTTCTCCTCCATTCTCCTCTCGGGAGCTTGGGCACGCATGCTCACGTGCCAGCGTGAGTTTTAAGCTACCGGGTCCGGGACGCGAACCGCAGTCGACTACGTGAGAGTCCAGCGACATAGCCATTACGCTAACTGCTGGTTCTCAGCAATGCATGTTGACTAAGAGAGAATAGGGATGGTTCTCCTTTCCAAAAACGAGAATGCTTGCATATTGCCGAAACCCTAGGTCACTCACCAGTGGGCACTTAGTGGTCAATGGTGATATGTCTTTGGTGAACAGAGGAATCGTGTTTGGCTGAAATTTTGAGTCTAGTGGAGTCACCTGGATCGAGCCATGCTATATTGACCCTAGGGAGGTTGGATTAGGCACACCCTAACAGCCTCTTTGCAACTTCATCACCTTCTGAAAGACCCTCTCTCCAGGTATGGTCACATCCTGAGGTTTTGCGGGCTGGGGCTCGATATATGAACTGAGAGACAGGCAGAGAGGAGCCCCTCTTATGTAAGGAGGTCAGCGTTTTTGTTTTGTTCAGGTCTTCAACAGATTGCCTGAAGCGCACCCGCATCGGGGAGGGCCATCCACATCACTCTGTGTATTCAGATGGTGAGCTCGTCCAGAAAGGTCCCTACAGACACACCCAGATATGATTGGCCAAATATCTGACCACGCTGTGGCCTGCTCGAGTTGGCACAGGAAATGAACCATCATAGCTCTTCATCCTGGTGCCCCCTGTGCCTGTCCAGTTTCTGACTGACCTCCCCCTCCGGCCTCAGCCTGATCTCACCTCCACCCCTGGGTCTGGCCAGCCCTCAGCCTCGGCCTCTGTGGGGACCAGAGCATTTCCAGCTGTGCTCTCCAGCACCCGCGCAGCCCCAGAGGCAGACCTTTCTCCTTTCTCCTGTGCGTCAGGTCACACACACCGTTCATTCGGCTGTATTTTGGAGGGCGTGCACCACACTGGACCCCATCAGCTCTTCACATTCACCCTGCCAAGCAGGTGTAGTTTCCCTCTGCAGCTCTGTGAGGGTAGGTGAGCTAGCCAGAGCACAGCCGGGTCTCCCCTCCAGGGCTGGCTTCACCATGTGCTGGACACTTCAGAGCACGTCACCGGAGGTCACAGATAGGAGCACCTGAGTCACAGGGGGGCAGGTGCTGGGGGCGCTGGCATCCGAGAAGCAGCAGGTCCTTCTTAGGGCCCAAGCTTAAGAGGCTGGGTGAGTGCCACTCGTCACATCTGGGAGGACTTGGTGTGCCTGCCCCTTCTAAGGGGCTTATATTTTGTTTGATCCATGGTTCTGGTGGTGCTGGAGAAAAAAGTCATTTGAAAACCACTGTTGTGAAAGACTGGGAGCCCCTGAAGAATTTTAAGCAGGAAAGTAACATGATTACATTTGCATTTTAAAAAGGAAGACAAAGACAATTTGGTATAAAAATAAATCTCCTTAATCACAGCATCACAGCAGAACAACTTTCCTCTGGGTGCATTCTCTTCTAGCCTGATCACACGCAGGGATGTTTATATAGCTGTAAACATCGCCGCGTTCGGCTCGCATCCTGATTTCTCACTCGAGGCTGCATGCTGTCCTCCCGTGGCCTCCCCGATGTCTCTGGGACGGCTGTGGTTGTGCCTTCGTGGGTCTTTCTCTTACTATCTGGCGTTCCCTTAGTTGAGCCAAACCATGGAAGTGACAATATCATTACCATTTGAATTGTTTCTAATCATTCTCTTTATAAGTGACTAGAAATGCACCTTCGTGTGTCCAGAGCTTTTGTTAGTTTCATGTGGAATCCTTCTCTGGATTAAAGATCCTAATGAAATTTTTTTAAAGTACAAGTTTATTTTGCTACAAAAAAAGTATGTGTCCCCCAAATTCTTTTTAAAATAAATGTGTTAATGGACTTTATTTTTTTAGAGCAGTTTTAGGTTCACCATGAAATTAAGTGGAAGGTACAGAGACTTCCCATATTTCCCCGTCCCTGCTTCCCACTGAACATACTGTAAGTGCCTGCACCAGAGTATACGCTTGTTCCAATCAATCAACCTTCCTGAATCGGCATCGCCCCTCGGAGTCCAAAGTTGACACTAGGGGTCGCTCTTGGTGCTGCTCATTCTGAGTCTTGACAATGTGTGATGACGTGTTTCCACCATCGCGTACCACACAGAGCAGTCTCACTGCCCTCCAAGGATTGCTCTGCCTTTATCCCTCCCTCCTCCCTACCCCCAGCGACCACTGACCTTTCACTGTTTCCACAGTTTTTGCTTTTTCCAGAATGCCCTATAGTTGGGATCTAGTATGAAGACTTTCTAGATTGGCTTCTTTTGCTGTATAACATACATCTCAGTACCCTCCATGTCTCTCTGAGGTTTGATAACTGGTTTCCTTTTAGCACTGAACAATATTCCATTGTCTGGATGTACCGTAATTGGTTTATCTACTCATCTACTGCGGAACAGTTTTGCTGTCAAGTTTTGGCAATTGTGCATGAAGCTGCTACGAATGTCCCTGTGCAGATTTTTGTGCGGGTATAAGCTTTCAGCTCTTTGGGTAAATACCAAGGGGTATGATTGCTGAGTTGTCTAGTAAGCATATGTTTCATTTTGTGAAAAACTACTGATCTGTTTTCCACAGTGGCTGTACCATTTTGCATTTCTGCCAGCAGCAAATGAGAGTTCCTGGTGCTCCACACCCTTGCCAACATTTGGCGTTGTCAGTGTTGTGGATTTTGGCCATCCTATTGGGTTGTCAGAAAAGTCATGATGCATTTTTGCATAGGAAAACATACTCCATGGCTTTCCCAACAACTCAATAACTGCATTCTAAATAGTTTTTAGTGCACTAGGTTGCTGGATAGCTTCTTCCCCTTTGCGTCTCTGAGCTAAACTAAGCATCAACGTGGCTCACACAAAGTTAGAGGACTCTCAGCCCATGGCCACATGGGGTACCTGTGCCATACCAGGAACGTGGTATGCAGTGGACACTGTGCCATTCTTTCCAGATCCTCTCATCAGACTGACTCACCCACTCCCAGCCCTGAAAAGGCAGGGAGGACCCCCCCCCAAGCCTCCAGAGGGCCCCTGCTGGCTCTGTGGTCTAGAAAGGAAGTCGGTTTGATTTCCGGTTTGAATCCCAGTTTGGTGGCTTGAAAAGCACATCCTGCATGTACACGTATGCTCAAAACCCTGACAGAATGGAGAAATGGAGGAGGAGAGATCACAGTGTGCCCGTGCCCCACTGGGGATGCTACTTCTTTCTTCCCTCCCTGTACCCCTTCCTCTCTGTCTCTCTCTAGCGAGGCACATAGCCCCTGACAAAAATAAATCAGTAAAAGAGAGGCGCTCTGCCCGAACTGCACACTTCTCTCCACCTCAGAGAACTGCCAGGTGGTGGGTGACGCTGATCTGCCAGCCCCCCTGGGGGTGGGGGCACAGCCTTCAGGCCCTAAAGAGCAGGCCTGATGAAGGCCCAGGTCTGGGGGGAGGGACATGTCAGGTCTTCTCCCGTTTAGGAGGCCACTTCTGGGATGCCTTCTTGCGCAGCGATGGGGTGCACAGCTAAGATCTCTGTCGGAAGCAGGGAACAAGTGCTAAGAGCACTGGTGGACAGAAATGCTGAAGAGGAAGTGTGGGACGGGGTTTGCTGTGTCTTCTGAGAAGTGGTGTAGAGGTATCATGGAACGCGTCAAGGCTCTGGGGACACATCGCATTTCTGTCCTGACACACAGCGAGACCCGGGCCCTGCCGAAGGACATCTCTCCTTGCTCATCCTGGCGACAGCAATCATAATCCACCCACACAGCATTTCTGTGAAGACTGAAGAACCCAGTGTGTTCTGAGGACCCCCTGGCACACAGGAGGACTCCCTTCTCTCCCTTCTCCTCATGCCTCAGGCTCGGCCCCACCTCTACTGCAGTAGGAGATAGTATCCCAGACGGGACCTCGAAGAGCACCCCTGCCCTGGGGCCCTGATGAGATGGCAACTCCAGACGTGTCTCAGTTCTGTTGAGCCCGACAGAAGGCATCTCGTAATGCCCCTTTTCTCCTGCCTCTTCTCTCCTGCAGGCCGAGAGTAAGGCGTATTTTCTAGTTGAAGATTACATCCCAGCGAGTCTGATCGAGAGAATGACCGCCCTTCGGGTCCAAGCGGAAGTTGCAGAGATGCACCGGGTCGGTTCTGCGCTCTGGGGAGATGAAGCTGAGCTGGAGTTTCTGAGGGTAAGGCCTTCCACGCCTCGAGAGAGAGGTCGATGCCCACAGGACTGAGGTTGGCAGTCTGACCCAGAGCCGCCTTTGGAGGGTCAGCCAGGCTGATAACTACAGGGAGGTCAAGCAAGGGTCCTGAGCTCTAGGAGGAAGGAAGGCCCCATTGTCCAGAGGGGCAAAGAAGAGGCTTCTGGAAGCAGGTGGCACTGGAAGTGACCCCATGGGTAGTGGGATTTGGTGGGCTAGGGCAGGTGTGGTAGGGCCTTTCTTCAACTTTACAGCGGCATCCCAACTGCTTTTCTGCAAGTAAGGAGACTTCTCAGACATGACACGCAGGATGACTGAAGGACAAAACAGAAGTATGAGCTGAAGCAAAATTGTTGGGAGGCCTCGAGTTTGCAGCCTTCTGGGCAGCTGCCCCAGCACAGCAGGGCTGATGTGACCCATGCACAGGGAGCAGCGCTGGTCTACTCCAGCTCCCGAGAGAAAGCAGTAGCACTTCAGTCCCCTATGTCAGGGACAGCCCTGACGACAAATAGTCTTTGCTCGCACCACAGCCTCCACTCACTGTGAGCCAGGCCCTGCGGGAGCTGACAGCGCAAGCACCAGGTCTGGTGGGAGGACTGCCGTGTGCCCCGGCATTACTCTGGGAAACGCTCAGTGGGAGCTTCAGGAAGGTGGGACCAGGGACGGAATGGCTGCTCTGCCTCTGTAGATGCAGCTGAGAGTGACTGGGAGGAGACCCCCAGCTCCCCCAAGGTGGGATACATGGCTGAGCCTTTAGATTTGGGAGCAGTTTTTAAAGGAAGCCCGGGGATTCGAACGTTTCTCTGGGCACTGGAAGGCAGAACTGCCAAGGCTAAGTGTACCCTTCGGTCTATGTTCAGCCCTTCAGCAGAACCTCCCGGCAGCGCCCGTGGGGAAGCCTGCCAGTGAGTCATCTGGGAAGTCCCGAGAGAAACATATGCTATGGAATGCCATGTTATCTTTCAAGTGGGGACTTTAAAGCTAAAGGGGTCGAGAACCACACAACCAAGCCCAGAGGCCAAGGACTCAGTCCTGTGGGAGGTCCTCCTGGATGGCTGCCACTTTCAGCAGAACCTCCCGGCAGCGCCCGTGGGGAAGCCTGCCAGTGAGTCATCTGGGAAGTCCCGAGAGAAACATATGCTATGGAATGCCATGTTATCTTTCAAGTGGGGACTTTAAAGCTAAAGGGGTCGAGAACCACACAACCAAGCCCAGAGGCCAAGGACTCAGTCCTGTGGGAGGTCCTCCTGGATGGCTGCCACTGTGGACGGTCCCCCTAACCAAGCCCAGAGGCCAAGGACTCAGTCCTGTGGGAGGTCCTCCTGGATGGCTGCCACTGTGGCCGCTCCCCAGCTTCAGCTCTGCATGCTGGCCCGCTGTGTCTCTCCCTCCCCACCCCCAGGCAAAAGCTGCAAGGATCCGAAAAGAAGCTACTATCTCAGAAGCAAAAAGTTCCTTTTGCTTTTTTTTTCCTTCTTCAGTGTTTCATGGAGAACTTGGATAGATACGGTTTTGTTTGTTAGAGCATGTTGGACCTTTTCATTCGGGAGAGGGTTTCTTAAAGTCATTTCCCCTCCCTGCGTATAAAATAGACACTCGCGCACAATCCTGCTCCCTGGAGAGAGAACAGTTACATTCCAGCACTTTTACCCTCTTCTCTTCGTGTATTCATATATGCGCGTATATGTTTACTGCTGGGTTTATATCACTTCTGTAGGTTTGTGTATCCATCTAATCTCACATCACTAACATCTTTTTTTTTTTTTCCGGAGAGGTTTTTGCTATAGGGTGCATGTGCTCACCAGAAAGACAGAGACAGAAAGCGAGAAATCATCCCCCCCGGGGGGGGGATGGCCACGCTGCAATCCCTTCTCTTCCTTTCTCCTCTTGGGATCTTGGGCACACACACACATGCGCCCGGCGTGAGTTTAAGCCACCAGGTCCGGGACTCGAACCGCGGTCGACTACATGGGAGTTCAGTGACATAGCCATTACACTAACTGCTGGTCCCAACATCACTAACATCTTGAAAACTTATTTTGAATCAATACACGTTGTGCCCTATTCCTTCAAAGGTCTATCGCTTGACATATAAATGTTTTTAATATGGGACTATTTTAAATGATAATGAGATTAACATTTTTCTATGTAGATCTTTAGTTTTATCTCTGCTTTATTCTTTAGAGACAGCATCTCGTCCCTGAGTGACAGGTTGGAGGTACTGAAGGCTGCAGACACTGCTGATATATATTGCAAAGATACCTTGTGCTGTCTTTCCGGATGTTTCTTGAACTGTCTATTCAGCTGCAAATGCCCTGAGGGTCCTGGGTCCTCAGAGACCTTCGCAGAGCCCAGTTACTCTATCAGCAGTCACTGGGTTACTTAATTATACATCCTCACGGTTCCTTTTCATTAAAAAGAAGAAAATCATTATCAGGTGTTGCCTCTTGGCCCTGGTTCATTGATGACTGACTGCTAGTTCTTTATCTCCCAGGGGAAGCAGACTTGGCAGGAGTTCAGTTTGGGTGAGGCTGGCTGCTGTGCTCTGCCTGGAAAATTACATTAGCATATTAGTCTCAAACAACTTGTTTAAAGTTAACTCAGTGTTTTCCAAACTTCCTCAACCAGGAAACCAGTATCTCAAATAACTAGGCGGCGTGAGATGCTGGGAAACCTCTTTTATTGGCTGTTGACATCGTGCTGGCTGTACCCTGGGTTTTTGCATTATGACAAACCCATTCACTTGCTAATTAGACGGACTTTATAGACATCCTTTGAAAAGGTTGCCTTTCATTTTATGTATTTTATTTATAGTTTTTTGCCATAGGATATGTAGACTTGCTACAAAGTCGAGAGAGAGACCGTGAGAGGGAAAGTAAGAAGCCACAGCCTGGGGAGGGATGGCCAAGCCACAGTCCCTTCTCCTCCACTCTCCTCCAGGGACTTCGGGCACACATACACGTGTACCTGGTGTGACTTTTCCCGCATCAGGTCTGGGACTCAAAGTGTGGTCAGCCATGTGGGAATCGAGCATCTCCAGTATCATGCCACCTGTGGGTCCTGAAATAGCTGCCTTTTAAACGAAGCCTTTAAAGGAAATCCTTTACTGACCATGAGCTAGTCTTTTCCATATCCTTCCTCCCCCCATGAGTCTGCACTGTGAGAGGGGTTAGTCTTGGTTATTCAGCAGTTTATCTGGAGAGATTACCAAGAGTGGAATTATAAGGTTTAAGAATATGAATTGTGAATTTCTTCGTGAATATCTGGAAATAATGATCTATTTATTTCCAGCTGTTTTCGGTACCGTAAGGCTGGTGCTAGTGCCTGGCTCTGGTCTCAGCTCTGCTGGGAGGACAGGGGACTCGAGTGTGATGGCCCTAAGCATGTGGAGTGGAAGCGGCCCTCTAAGTGGAAACCCAGCCATAGCATCACAGAATGGGTGAGGAAGGGCATCCAAGCACGCACCCCGGGAGGCAGGGCGTGACACAGACAGTGTTCCTACAGACTGACGATGTCCTTCAGTGCTTCGCCTGCGTCCAGGCTTCGTAGACAGCCTGCCTGGCAGCTGTTCTGGGTGAAGACGCAGAACAAGCAGACATACGTTTCTATTTCTGGCTCAGAAATGGGAATGTCAGATTACCGAGTTCTTTGTGCCTCCATTTTTTTCCTTTGAAAAGAGAAGGCTACACGTGCCTCTGATGGTTGTTGCAAGATTGAGTAACAATAAAATAATGCACGGGAAAGCTCTACCAGTTCAGGAATTATGAGGCACCAAGTACTGAAAAGTATGACGTTCCTGGGACCAGCAGTTAGCGTAATGGCTGTGTCGCTGGACTCCCACGTAGTCAACCGCGGTTCGAGTCCCGGACCCGGTGGCTTAAACTCATGCTGGGCGCGTGTGCGTGTGTGCCCAAGATCCTGAGAGGAGAATGGAGGAGAAGGGATTGCCGTGTGGCCATCCTCCCGGGGGGTGATTTTTCACTTTCTGTCTCTACGTCTCTCTCTGTCTGTCTGGCGAGTGCACGCGCCCTATAGCGAAAAACCTCTCAAAAAAAATAAAAATAAAAATAAAAGGATAATGTTCCTCTCTGTGAACTGAAAAATAAAATGGAAAATGAGAACTGGGGGCCCAGACGGTGGCACAGTGGTAAGATGCAATGCTCTATAAGGCGATCCCACATGGGAAGGTGTCCAGTTCAAATCTAGAGACCTCCGTAAGCATGCTGGGCACATACTTGCCCGTGACCCGGAGCTGGGTGAAGCTGGGTGGTCATGGCATCATCCAGAGCCTGTTGAGGTGGTCTCTCCATTTCTGCTTCTCTTGCTCGTGGAAGAAACAGATAAATGAATGAATAAATAAATAAATAATAAATAAATAATAATTACCAATCAATAAGTTTAAGTAAGTTCAGCAAAGGTATTATTATTCTAATTAAGATGACATTAATGTCTTAGAATTTTTTTCTTTAGAACTAGCACATCAAATTCTTGGAAAGAATTTACCCAATTATTTTGAGGTGTCCCTTCTTTTTAATGTCTTTTTAAAAAAATTTACCATAAGGCATACGTGCTCCTCACTCAGCAGTGTAACAAACACAGTCCGGGAGACAGACAGAGAAGGAGCGAGGAAGAGGGAGAATGCATACCCCTTGTGGTGCGCGGTCACGCGGCAGTTCCTCTCCCTCCATTTTTTTTTTTTTTATCCTGCTGAGATTTGGAGCACACGGGTGAAAGTGCCTGGCATGTCTCTCTAACCACCAGAACCAGAGTTACACCATGTGGCTGGCCATGTGGTATTCAGCTTCCTTAACCACTAGGCCATGGGACCAGCCCTGCTTTGTCATGGCCTAATTCCATGCCCAGAGCAGTCACTGGATATTTCAGCATCCGTGTGCCATAAATAGAAATATCGTTTCATATGATAATGATGAAAAGGCCTCTCCAAAGTTAGAAGGAGGTTCAGGTGTCCAGAGACTTCATCTAGACGGTGGGAAGACGTGTCATGTCAGCAGGCAGCACCTGTCTATGAGATGCTTCATCACAGCAGAGGCCAGCTCGGGACTGAGAAGGCCTCTCGAAGGCCACACTTTGTCCCTGGCTATGTGACCCTGCTAGCAGTGAAAGAGACTGGATAGCACGTGATGTTCTGTGCTGGGGTAAGAAGGGATGGTCTAACGAATGAAATCCTGAGTAGATTTCAAAGGCCTAGAACAAGATGTCCTCACTGTGGTCCGGGTGCATAAACCCTCTGATGAGAACTAAGACCTTCCCAGGGAAGATGGAATTGTGGGAGCCCAGAGAGACAGGACTGCCATTCAGACATAAAAACATTTACATTATGCTTTTGCTCCAATTCTTCTTTTTTTTTTTTTAAAGAGAGATTTTTTGCTATAGGATGTGTGCACTTACCAGAGAGACAGAGAAACATATAGTGAGCAATCACCCCCCCAGGGGGATGACCACTCTGCACTCTCCTCCATTCTTCTCTTGGGATTTTGGGCATGCATGCACATGCATCTGGCGTGAGTTTTAAGCTGCTAGGTCTGGGACTCAAACTGCAGCCGGCTATGTGGGAGCCTGGGGACATAGCCATTATGCCATTTATTGATCCCTTGAATTATCTTAAGAATGCAGCTATCCCTGGACACAGGCACAATTTCGTCTCCTAACCTGGTAAGCTGAGGGGAGACCTTGGGCTGTGGGGACCCGCTGAGGATGTGGTGAGACACAGTGGAGTGGTTGGCCATTTCCTCTGCAGATGACCAAGCCTTGTCTTGCTTTAATGGCGATGCCGATGACCCGGAAGTTTGCTTTCTGTGCTTGAGCCTCAGCCTTCCCATCCATCGCATGAAAGGTTGGACCAGATGGTACTGCAGGAGACTGTGACTGACACAACTGGGAAAAGGGCTCCCTTACCTTGAGATGTCTTAGAATTCTAAAAATCTTGTTCAAGAGGAGGTGGCATGAAGAATAAGGTGCCTGGATCCCACATAGCCAACTCCATGGTTCGAGTCTGGGACCTGGCTGTAGGAAATTCATACTGGTTGTGTGTATGTGTGTGACCAAAATCCTGAGAGAATAGAGGAGATGGGATTGCAATGAGGCCATCCCCCCTGGGGGGGGTGATTTCTCACTTTCTTTCTCTCCCTCTGTCTCTCTCTGATGTGTACACATGCCTTATAGCAAAAACTAAAAAGCAAAACCAAAACCAAAAGCAAATAAAACAATTGTATGAGTATTTATTCTTTCTGAAAAAAATTACTGAAATGAAATGAAAAATAAATACATGAAAACTTGTTCAGCATATTATTCTACGATATCATTTTCATAACTGTGTTCCAAGTGCTGTTTTAGGAATTCCACAGGAAAAGGACTCCTGCAATTAAAAGCGTGGAAAATGTGATTATAACTGGGATATGGAGCAGCTCTGTGATCAGGGGAATTGCTTAGATCCGTGTTTAGTGTTTCCTAAACTTAGTTGGAACCCTTACTCCTTTTCTCAGAATACTCGGGTAGTTTTCGTGGAATGGTCCAAAGCCCAGTTTTGAACCCGCGTGCCTGTCTCCTTCACACCGGCCTTTTTCTTGCTCCAGGTCTCTCAGCAGCTACCAGAATATGGTGTGCTGGTTCACCGGATTTTCCCAGAGAAGAAGCTGGACGGCGAGATGGCCCTGGGCATTTGTGCCAAGGGTATTATAGTCTATGAAGTGAAAAACAACCTTAGGATCGCAACTCTACGGTTTCAGTGGAGAGAAACTGGGAAGATTTCGACCTATGTGAGTATAGCTCCGAGGATAACGGACCTGCACTTCGTTGTCCTTTGATCTGTTGTCCCTTTGGAGAACTGATGGGGCATGTGAATTTCTCCAGACCGAACATACTCACAGCCCTTCTCTCAGTTAGTCTGTCTTCTGGTGCCCTTGGCACTGTTGAGAAGTCTACAAGGGTCTGGGACCAGCAGATGGCATAATGGTTACGTCACTGGACTCCCCCATAGTCGACCGCCGTCTGAGTCCTGGACGGGGTGACTTAAAACTCGTGCCAGGCACATGCGCGTGCCTGCCCAAGATCCTGAGAGGAGAATGGAGAAGGCATTGTGGCTTGGCCATACTCCTTGGGAGGGGGTGATTTCTCACTTTCTGTCTCTCTGGCCAGCACACACACCATATAGCAAAAAATCTCTCCCTAAAAGTAAAAGTCTACCAGGGTATTTTGGGAGGTTCTCAGGAGGCCATTTCTCCAACTATACCTTACCTTGACCCCCCCTCACCCCTGCCCTGCCCTTCTCCATACTCTCATGAACAGTCGCCTCTCTAAAGGGGTATACTTTCTTTCTGGGTAAAGGGCTCTTAATTTGGGGAACCCATTAATGTCGAGAGCAAGACTGGAGGTGGATATGGTAGAGGAGAGCAGAGTAGATTGGGGGATCTGCAAGGATCTGAAACATTCTTCCTGCGTTTTCATTTTCACTCACACACAGCGAGCCCTGGCTCCTGGTTGGTGGCTCAGTATGCTGAGATACTGAGGACTGCGAATTTAGACAGTCATTCAAAGTTTAAAAGCCTTTTGTGGAAAACAGAAAATGCCTATTAAACACACACTGTTCAAAATCACATTTGAACAAAATCTGTCTGAGTCTTTTTTCTTTCTGAATTGAGAGACAATCAGTAACCTAGTAGCGGACTGTCCCATGGGTTGTTCTGATTAGAGCTGGAAAGACATCAGCTTCACAAGACATATTTAGTAGCTTTAGGAAAAAAATGAAGACTTCATCAGGGTTTCTATCCATCTCCTGAGAGCCATTCCTTTCCCTGAAATGAATGACTTTGTTTTTGTTTTTTTTTAATGTGGAAGTGATCACATGAATGAGGTCACCAGCCGCTGGCCGCAAACCACGAGCCTTACACTGACAACTTGAGCGGTGTGTGCTCTGTAAGCACAGGGGAGGGAGCCCTGTGAAGAATCCCAGCATGGGCTTGGGAAGCTGGTTCTCATTTTGCTTATTAGTAGCTAGAGCAAAACAATCAAATCCATCATCTAGCCAGCTCACCGGGAAGTAGCAAGGAATACAGAAGCCGCCATATTGGAAGACTATGCTGTGCAGGTGTGCTGGCATCGACATGTAGCCCGATGGCTCTATCAAAGGAGTGTTCGTCCTTGAACAGTGAATGTGCCCTGCCAGTGACTGTTCTTGGTTATCAGCACCAGTTAGAGTCTCTGGAGAGTAATGCAGAGAAGCGAGGACAGACTGCTGGCTACTTTTCCTATTCTAAGATGCTCTCCGAGGAGCCTGGGGTGGGCAGGAGGAGGTCACGTGTAGGAAGTCATCTTGCTATAGGAGACGGCCTTGGTCAGTGACCGCGGCATGTTCCCTGCATCCTCTCCCTGGCACAGCAGGATATGTGATATATAGTCAACCCCTCTTATCTCTGTTAAAATTAAACTCATTCTTTTCTGTTGACTGAGTCTTTTGGAGACTCAGAGAGTCGTTTTTCTTCTTTCTTTCTTTCTTTCTTTCTTTATTTATTTTGTGGGGGAGGTTTTTACTATAGGGCGCATGCGCTCGCCAGAAAGAGACAGAGAGGCAGAAAGCGAGAAATCACCCCTGGGGGGATGGCCACGCAGCAATCCCTTCTCCTCCATTCTCCTCTCGGGATCTTGGGCATGCACGCACATGTGCCTGGCATGTTTAAGCCTCCAGGTCCAGGACTCGAACTGCAGTCGACTACATGGGAGTCTAGCAGCATAGCCATTACGCTAACTGCTGGTTCCTTCAAAGACGTGTTTTTTAACCAGTTAATAACCCTAGAATTTCTAAACCCACCTATGTCCATTAATCCCTACACCTCCAACTGAGGCTTCCAAATGTCCTGCGTGTTTGGACCAGGCCAACGTGAAGAGTCCCCATGCGACTGACACTGTGTCTGTCTGCTGTTCTCCCCACGGAGTGAAAGGCCGCTGCAGCTAAGCACCCTGAGGCACCTCCTCTGGGCCACCAGAGATTATGTTTCTGTGCCTTGGTCACTCATACTCATGCTTAGAATAAACTGTTTTAATTATTTCTACAGAACTCAATTATTTCTGTTGACAGAAGCAGGAACAGAAGGTCTGCAGGGCTCTGATCTCTTTAAGAAAACAATAATACAAATAATACAGTACGAAAGGGAATATTTTTATTTATTTATTTATTTTTTTGGAGAGGTTTTTGCTATAGGGCGCGTGTGCTCACCAGAAAGACAGAGAGAAACAGAG